TATTCTAGATGCTGAGAATATAATTTTGTTTGAAAAGGTCTTTTAGACAAATAAAAAAAAGCTTTATCAGATATCTCGAATACATGTTCAGTAAAACTAATATATATGAAAACAGCTTGCCATAATGTTGCTGCCTTGAAAATATTATGCGATCATTTCTTGAATGGTCATGGATCAATGTATCTGTAAGGTGAAATCTTCTGGCAGTAGGTGGGGATGAAGTCTAAAAACGTTCTAAAATAAAGAACCTGTGGATGATCTGATGCGTCCCTCCTCATGTTGATTCAGTCAGCTTTTACACAGTAAAGTGTTTGCATGCAGCCGCGCTTCGGATGTTATCATCCAAATAAATGGTTGTTATAAGATGCTATCAATCCTTCAGATTATGCCAGTAGGCTCATTAGGTTGTTATCATTGAGTGGATCCTAATCCTAACCCTAAAGTAATTCCTTTTCCCCTGTGGAATCAATTAATCTATTTATCTGTAATCTGAAAATAATTTCATTAGTTCTTTATGTACAGTAAATATAACTAATTAAAATAAAATTATCTGCATCTCGTTCATACTAAATAAACCAAACACAAGTAATCTCATGCCCTGTCAGCTGAGTTGTAGAATCCTCTCCCTATAAATATTTCTCTGTAAAAAAGTGCCGATCATTCTTTAATAAGATCCTCTTCAAATGGACCTGCAATCTTTTATTTCTTTTATGCACAAAACTACGACAAAAATCAGACTAAATCAGGAAATAAAACAGTGTGATAGGCTGTAAGGAAAGCGGAGACAGACACCTGCTACCAATGGAACTCTCTTTGTGGACCAGAAAAGTACAACACGCCAATCTGTCTTTGACTTTTATCCATGAAACTGATGCAAGACAGCAACACTGGTTGAAAATGTTCATCCCAGAGAAAATCTTGCTGCCCGATTCGGGTCTATGTGGAGTCTGCTGAGGTCTGTTGTACATTTGAACACACAAATGTCATTGAAATTAATATTATATCGCTGAATATGGCAAGCCCTTGTGTGTATTTGTTCTATAAGAGACATATAATAACATTTATTGATGTAAGAAGCTCCAGCAAGTGGTTACACGGTATCACACCAGGTGAACATTTTCTATTTTAAGTCATAAAGGAGAAGTTGTTCATTAAGATTCAGGAATTTGTGTTTTTCCTTTTACCCAAAGGAAGCTGCTCTCATGATCTCTCATCATTCTTCTTCGTCTCGCTCAATCTCTTTAAAAAACTCATAGTCTTGGTTCTCCCTTTGAGATTTTGGCGCCCTGCAAGAGCTTGCAGAGTCAGAGCAAACATTACGGGCAAACAGTTGGCCCTTATCAGGCCGGCGCAGCCCGAGATCCACCGCTTTTTTTTCTCTTCAGGTCGAAACAACAAGCCGTTCTTTTCCTCCCCTCTGCATAGCATTACATTCAGCCTCAGGCCCAATGGGACGGCTGCGGTCTGCCTCCACATTAAGAGGCTGTTTGCACACATCTCCAAGGTAAACAAATGGGATTGCGACTGATTACAAATTAAAATCTTTTCTTAGTGAAAGTAGCAGTCTAATGGGGAAGAAACGATCCTGAAGGAATAACCACCACCAGGATGTGACCTTGTTTGGTAAACAAACATATTCTTAATTATGAAGGAAAAAATGAAAGACAGCAGATAAATGTGGTTCTTTGTTCACATTTGGTTTTACATTCACAATGAGGTAGACATTCTGCCAATCATCTTTAGCATGAACAGAAAAACACCTTTATTTCTGCTTCTTTTATGCTTCTTCTCTACAGCTTCTGTCAATCCTTTGGTGCCTGGATGCGATGGACAGTTCTACGAGACGAAAATCAACCATTTCTGCATGGAGATTTTCCAAATTGATATGGGAAGATTGGATTTGGACTTGTGGTGCAGTTGGCCAGAAACCATGCAGTGAGTGTAATAAAAAAGAATATGAAACACTGTTTCTAAAAGAAAACCATTGTAATCCATAAAAATCATCATTTCAAGTAGACATAGTTTTATAATAGTGTTGCCTACATGTCCCAAGCATTTCTAAAACATTATGTTTGCCTCAGTCTCTTCTTAGCTTTTTAGGGAAAACAGCTACTGTACAGATTGTTGTTTTTACATTTTATTCTTATCTATATATATAGACTATCTTCTAAAGTACCATTCCCCCTCTATGGTTGTACGCCTTGGGAATGTCTAGAGCCAGTGGCTCAAACATGTACGACTCCTCCACAGAAACTTTCCTCTCCTTCCCCTGTTTCCTCGATCTCTGGCGAAGAATGTAGAATGAGATCCTCCAACCCGATACAACCTGTAATCGCTGTTTCTTTATCTTTTCGTTGTCAATCCCCCTGTCAATCTCAGCCGGGACCGACAAGTCCTCCACCACTGCAGGTCCCCTGGTCACACAAGGAGCATTTTTAAAGTGTTATATTTGATAGAAAGTAACACTCTTACCCTGAGCTATCCCTATAGTTATGCTGCTATAGGCTTAGACTACTGGAGGACATAGGGACCACCTTTCCTCACTCTACTATTCTATTCTGCTTTCTATTCTGCCTTATTTGTTACTTCATCCTCTAACTTTATGTTCTCTGCTATTTCTTGAGACAGTACATTCATCTAGTCTTGTTCTGTTTGGTTATTCGGAAGGGAAATATCAGCTGTGATGCGTTTTTTAAGCCCATTGCAAATGCATTGCTCTTGCGCATATTTTAACCAGTACAATGTTCTTTTGAATATTGATGCGGACCAATAAAATTGAGTCTTCATTCATCAATCCAGAGGATAGACTGCGCACAGTAGTTAACAGATTGTGATATGTGAAACCTAATTAGAAAGCAATAAAATTAATAAAGCAATTAAAAAATCAAAAAAAATAAATGAAATATGGAAAAAGTAATAAAAAAATTGAACAGTACATTTTGAGAAAACTGTAAAGTTATTCTCATAACCTTTTTTTTATGAAGACGTTTTGCAAAGTTAGATTTACAAAGTGTGATTTTTTTAAACAATAATGGAACAAAATTTACTCCATAAAAAAAAATCTATCAGATGTTTTTTTCTTTTTTGTATCGGCTGGATCAGTTTGACATCATATTCCAGAGCACATGTTTTAATGTGAAACGGAGCCTCGCTGCTCCGTGGCTTTCCTTTCCAAGCACCAGTGGTTGGAGGATGAGTCAGACAGGAACATAAAAGGGCGCTGAAGAAGCTTCTGTCAAAACTGTATGATTTCCCTCCTGGCTCCCTGTCCTCGCTCGGTCCAGCACAAAATAATTGGTGCTGGCACTCTTTGTGCTGCGAAAAAAAAGTACAGGCATGCTCAAGGTTTCCACTTGTGTAATAAAACTCCCGGAAACAATGTGTGATGGCAGCATTGAAGAGAGCAAAATGAAAGAATTTAGGGAATACAAATGGATTTTAGCCTGTGGCTATATCTGGTCTAGGTAATTTCTTTTCTTGTGAGATTAATGTTCCTGTCCATAGTTATGAAATGTAAAAAAAGGAAAAAAAAGTATGATCATATTAGAGTAAAGAGACATTTTTTCAAATTGTTAAAATGTATTAAGAATGAAAAGAAAATATTTAAATAATGTGACAAGCTGCCCTTTTCTCCCCACATTTAACATAAAAACATGTCTCCAAATACATTCATCTATCATTTTACTCTTACTTGCTTACTTAGGTACTTAGATAAAGCTCTATTATACACTCACCGGCCACTTTATTAGGTACCCCATGCTAGTAACGGGTTGGACCCCCTTTT